TTCTACTACTACTACTACTACTACTACTACTACTACTACTACTACTACTACTACTACTACTACTACTACTACTACTACTACTACTACTATACTACTACTACTACTACTACTGCTGCTGCTGCTGCTACTACTACTACTACTACTACTACTACTACTACTACTACTACTACTACTACTACTTCTACTACTACTACTATAATACGGTGACGTAGGTGACATTTTTCCGCGTGTCAACAGGGCCAGGTCTAGTGTTCATCGTCTATCCTGAAGCCATCGCAACTATGCCCGGTTCGACCGCCTGGGCAATACTATTCTTTCTCATGCTGCTCACGCTAGGACTTGACAGTTCCGTAAGTGGTATATATTATTTGCTCAAATAAGAAATGATTCTTTTTAACCGCAAAGGTTTATGTCTTTGTCATGAAACTCGTTCTATTTGTTAGAATAATGTGCCCAATAACAGATAATTACGATTTTAACATATACCGACGCGAATAGGGCAACCATGGTAATTTCGAAATGGTTTGTAATCGGATTTAGTTGAGACCTGGATACTCATGCCAATACCCGGCATGGAAAATAAGTAGGCATAGTATTGTGTTCAATCTTGAAATCGATTGTAAACATTGCAAGTTATCTCCTATGCTTTATAGTGACCGAAAGTGGTTTACCTGATCCTGGGTTATAGCTTCTGGCCCTAAGGAATTGTCTTAATTGGATCCATCGGTACTATTTATTAAAATATATTTTTAATCATTCCTATTAAATTATTAATTGCTATTAAATTAATTTGGAGAGTCGGAATTAATTGCACGAGCAAAATGCGACAGAGAATCTTGTGGAGACAACTGACAATGTTTCTCATCGATATTCAAAATAAAATAAAAGTTTTTTTTATCTTTTCTTCTTCTTCAACGTTGAGCCTATAATAAGGAGTCACGATTGACTCTGTTGCAGTTTGGTGGTTCGGAGGCCATCATCACAGCCCTCAGTGACGAGTTTGTGTGGGTGAAGAAGCACAGGGAGATCTTCATCGGTTGCCTCTTCACGCTATACTACTGCATCGGTCTTACGGCGTGCGCCCAGGTGCGAGGTCTCCATCCCTCATCAGATACGTGTGTGTGTGTGTGTGTGTGTGTGTGTGTGTGTGTGTGTGTGTGTGTGTGTG